TCCCTCCCCATCTCGTCATCGTCGTATAAAACAAGTCTTATTTTCAACTACCGCTCGAACACCACCAAAGCAGGGACTACGGCTCAAATCATCGGCTAGGAACAACGAAGAAATCGAGATGAATCTAAAAAAGGAGAACAGAGACGAAACATAACTCATACCGTAGAGTCGTACTGTAATTCTATTTATCATACCACTGCCGTTGCTTATTACGGTATCTTCTTAACATCACTGTTACTACTTTTCGGTTTTGCTTTTTGAATATCAAATCTCACTGTCTAACCTACCAACATTTTCAGTACAAACAGAAGAAGAAATTAAGCGAACACTATGAGTAAGAAGAATGAAAATCGGTCTTGAAAGTGTTCGTTTGTAAGCAAAGAACTCCATCGTATTGAAGAACCATTTATCCAGGATTGTTCTAAAGAGCATTTACTAAATGCATTCAATTTGAAAGATGACTCGAGATGAAGAAAGCAAGTAACATCACAAAAGGCCTTTGCACTTTTTATTCTATGTAATCCTTTGCTACAAAATCTCTTTGCTTGTTCATGGTCATAAACTACGATTTGAGATATACAAGTAGTTTGTGGGCAAAATCTACTACGGCTAGAGTGTGTGCGAAGTACTGGGGAAAATTTGATGACGATGATGGAACTCAGTTGCCTCCGTTTCAAGCTAACACTAAAAAACGCTTCTTCAGAATTCTGAAGCCTACCGAGTCGTTTCTCTGGTTTCTCTACGCTTTTCTATTAAGCGGGTGCTATGATAACATCAAAATGAACAACGCTCTACAAATCCTTAAGTATTATATAGAAAAATGTTTCTAAAATTTTTCTAATAATAAATCTCACTACCAATCCCTCATCGATTCAACTGCCTCTAGGCCTCTGTTGTATCTTAGGTAGTGGAGCTATGTAAGAACTACCTCGGTAAGATTATTACTCCCTGAAAGAATGCTGGCCGTAGGAGAGGGATCCTTTCTCAGATCACCAAGGGTAGCTGACTGCATGTGATAAAAATTTGAGAGGTCCTAATACGGTTATACTGAATTTTCAAAGAAAACTATGGTTAACCGGTACTCAACATATCAGTGAGGAAAAAAATGAAGTAGTCTCCTAAACTACTGCCGAACCTACATTTGAACCTGACTAACGCATGAGTAACAGTTACACAAGACAATTGACTGAGGTGAAGAAGGACTGAAATGGGCGTCACGTATGAGGAATGGCATTCTAAATGCTTCGCTATATATTTTGACAACACAGTCGTTAAGTTCTTAAGCGCTCCTTCATTGGATGCTTAAACATTAATCAATCGACACATCGGATCTGCCAGTAGTAACGTACTACTTATGTATTTTGCCGATAAAACCTAAAGTGGACTTATAGTAAGATAAGGGTTGTACCTCACCTGTGTAAAGCTCTTTACAATACCAAAAAGCGTCTCAACAGTTACTCTTTTACACTTTCATTCCGTTCTTTTCTCGTTGATGTAAAGCCCGCTGAAGCGTCTTGTGAGGGACTTATTCGCATGGTTTGCATCCACTTTCATGTGTTCCTCAGAGTGGCCAAGTTCGTCGGCAGGTGTGGCGGCCACAATCTGCCGGTCGAGCGTCATATTTGCGCTCGCGTTTGACATGGTTACACGACGTGGAATACTGTAGAAGCTTAGCATGCATTACGATCGTTTGTATATATTGGTGTAGGTGATTCCAAGGCAAACAATAAATGAGCGGAATGGAAATGTTTTCGCGGGCCGGAGATTAATTCGCGTCGTCACAGCACGTGCCGTGACTCAGCTGCCTGAGTCAACCAAGCAAGGCGTGAGCCTCGCGCTTGAAGCACGACGATACCTACGACAACGACAACGACAACGACGACGACGATGGTGATGATGATGATGTAGAGGCAAATGATGATGATGATGATGGTGACGATGACGACATATCGATGTTTTTCTTCAATAAGCAGACACGAGGTTGTTATTATAGAATTTATTAGGATACAATAGCTGACGTATCGGCGGTTTCGCCTTCTTCAGAGCCAGGAAGGGTCAATTTGAGATGCGATCTACTCAGCCAGACACTTTCATAGTCCTAGCAGATAAAACTTAACAAACAAATTTGTATTCGCATAAGAAACAGCTTCATTCGAACACCTACCATTTATTTGTCTTAAGTATTCAAGTTAGTTGATGGATAGCAGCCGCACAGAGCATATGGGCGCTAACTGTGTCTATGTCAGGTCATTGGATTAGCCTGAGGTATGGCGACAGGTCACGCGTGATGACAAGACACTCCTCCTTGCAGTTCATTTTTGAATTTTTGAAATTGATCCAAAACGCTCCGAGAGTTTTACGCACTGATGTTTTCCATTCGTGCGTGAAGGTAGTGACTCCTACTTCAAAATTTTCTCCGTTGTGTTCCAGCATCCCATGCGCGCCTAGTGGAGTGTTTAGTTTTAATTTAGATTTACCGACTAGGTGTTCTTTTATGCGGACGCAGAGCGGTCTACCCGTTTCGCCAACGTATTCGTCCCCACACGCTTTACAAGAGATCAGATAGACTGTACCCGGAGATGATGATATATTGACGTAGGTAATTCCAAGGCAAAAAAATAAATGAGCGGAACGATGACGAGATAACAAAAACCTGAAGAAGATTTGGTGAGGTTCGAATTTGTCAATATAGATCGAGGTGCACGCATCATTTGGCTTTGACGACTTTTTCAGGTATATGCAATCATTCTTCTCAATGAAAGCAAGTGGATAAAGCCCTATGCGTTGATCAATTGCTGTCTGCACTCGAGTAACCCGACTCCATACCTAGCATCGTAGAGGTGAATGAACGCGTATTTAGCCTATAAAATTTACGAGGAATACTATTTCTCATGGCGCTCTAATTACCATCCTACATGAGAATGGTACCAATCTCCCGACCCCAGAAGGATGATGGGTCCGTGAGGCTGGGTGTGAGATCGGGTCAACGACCAAGTGCGTAACTAGTAGAGATGACGCTCTAGGTGCTGCCCATTATAAAATAAAAAGTGCTTAACGAACACTACAATTAAATTCTTAGCATTGTGCGACAATCTTAACCTTTTTATTTACTGCCTATTCTTTTTAACGGCAGCGTATGTTGCGAAACATAACTTCTATAATGCTGAGATATTTGCAAAACTCCGGACCGCAGCTGCCTGCGGTGGGAAACGAACGCGCTAGTGTCCTTTCCGGGGAGTAAGGCGTTCACCACCACACCATGCGGGTCCTTCGCTTCGCCTAAATTAGAATAGGCAATAGATAAAAAGGTTAAGATTGTGATTATAACTATAGCCTCAGCTTAACTGGGTTCAATGCCGATTTGGGCTCCCCAGATCAATCCCGTTGACGGGTGATTGCTGATGGCAGTGATCGATAGAACTGGCGGAGAAACAGGCGAAGCGAAGGACCCGCATGGTGAGATGAGAACGCGTGCCCATCATTGCTCTTGTAAGAAGTTGCATTCGGATAAGACTTTCTTCGGAAATCAATAAGAAAGAATCGATTTCTGGTGGTAAGAATGGAAACTGTTCCTTACAGAAAGCTTATCACCAGTTTGCAAGCTGTTCCTTACAGGAAGCTTATCACCAGTTCAGTGACTTTGTTTGGAGTTTCGGTATTATTAAGTGACAAGAACATTATCAGTATCCTGTAAAAATTTTCACGGCCCATTCCCTATTAATCTCGGCGTTGGTTAAATAAATCCTCTCATGCTCTGAGGAAGTTGATGCTGCCGAAACTTCAGGTTTATCGGAATAAAGATTAAAGTAACACCGCGTGTTTACTCAATAAGAATATTGAGTATCGGTATCGTCAACAGTAATCAATGATCCTAAAGTTAGGTTGATCTAAGTGGAAAGTCGAATGAATGTTTTAGAATTTCACAAGATTTTTGGAAGAAATGAAGGAAGAAAAAGCCAAGGATACTTCGTTGTATACGCTAACCGGTATGAAAACTAGGTCGCACACATCTACATCGCTTTTTTTCAATTCTTGTAAGATCTATAACTCAGCTCAGATAACCTAATTTCCAATACTCTTTTGCTCTGCTTGTAAACAGTTTTAAATTGGAAAAGATAGACTTCCGACTGATTTGGCTCACTGAGATCAGCCTTCGTGTAGGCGAAAGTTTATGTCTATGATGATTTATTAACCCACCTAACTTGTGGTCTGCTTGTGTGTTGTGTTTCGATTTAAGAAAAAGAGAAGTAAAAACGGCTAAACTAACATAGTAATAAACTGCGAGAAATAGAATAGTGAACTTTGACTGACATGTGATTCGAAATGCTTTGTTCCTAATCTGGCCAAAAACGGCGAATTCCCACATGAGTCGGTGACGCTGATTCATAGTGTAATCGGGCATAAATGCGATTAATAATGGCGAAACTGAATGAGTGTGAATAAAAAATAGCTTGGCAGTACCTGCCAGCACTCAGTCATTAGTGACAAATCGCACTATTTATCTGATTCACTCAATTATTCAACAAAATCTCTCCTCATAGTCTGCGGTCTCGACGTCGCGGCTAAGGATGTTCTTGGATGTCGAACAGCGACTTACAGCGGAGAATTAGCTCTTTCCTCCAAGCGATGAAGGAGCTCGATTTTATAACCGAAAGCCGAGATTACAGTAGACCATTGCCCAAAATTACTACTATCCTGGTAACGACATACTCATTAACTGATGAGTGGCAACGATCTTAAAATGTGCTACCACAGGTGTCCAGGCTCTGGAAAAGGAATTTCTTGTATTACCAGGAAGCAGTAAATTACCAGTCAAATAGTACTTTTACTTGAGCTCGCACTATTCTTCGCAATTCGTGAAGACAGTCTATTCAAGCATTCAAGTGAGTATTAAATAAAATACCCAAGTAGCACTAAGAAGGTAACAAATTGCATCATTCGGTCCGATTTCTTCCGTTATTCACCAGAACATAGCCGGTAATTTTTTATATGAGAAACAGTTAATTACTTACAAATTGTTGACATACCATTTGTACCCTTTGCAAGTGTTTATCAGTACGGGTATGCAACTGAAAGTTCGCCTTCAAATTTGTGTGGTACGGACAAAGATGACAACGAAACACTCCGCTGCTCATCGAAATGTCACCGTGTGATGGACTTGAGCGGTCCTGTAACGAAGACTGCAAAATTGCTGCTATATTAAATGTCTTATTTATTGAGTAAAAATACTTGAAAATAGCCTCGCATCAATGACGCAGAAAAAGGTTTTGTCACATTGTTTTGTTTAATGACAGCTAAAACTGAGATAATCCTAGTTGATACTCAAAAGAAACAACTGTTAAATGGTTGCCGTTGAAAGGAAAGCTGAGTTCAATTTTTGCCATTGTGGCCCATTACGGAGAAGGCATATGAATCTTCCTCACATAAAGATTCTGGATCTGATAACTCGTTTAGTTACGTGACCCGTCCTAGAATGTTAGTAAGGATGAACCAAAACAATCATAAGTGTTTCTTCTAGGACACTGATAAATACAGAAGATCGATGCTTTGTTTCTCCGGCGTCGGATTAGCTTAGACCTTCCTTATAGATGTAATCATAAACATTCATATGGGAGTGCCACCAAGAATATAGATCGTATCATGAACGCCAACTCGGCCAACAGGCTGTAATCAGCCGACTCGGTTGTCGTAAATCGCACACAGTCCAGCGTCGCCTCCAACAAAGGTTGTGTAATACTCTGGGAAACTCGAACAAGCTACCAGCCGTCGGCAGATCAAGCCTTTAAGGCAATGTTAACCGCTACGTAATTAATCAATAAAAATTCTAAAAAAGGAAGGAACTTTAACCAAGATCGTAATAGTAATACTTTTTCTTGTTGTTCGAGCGAACGGAACCTACTGAGTGGTTCTTGATCACGAAAAAGGCAAACCTTATGGTGCTTTAGTGACTCATTGGTTAATCGGATTACAAGCGGTAAGGATAGACTTAGAAAATGTTAACGATGGAAGGAAACTCCAGCGCTGATAAAGGCTACTTACATAAAAGGGTGTATTAGCAAGTGGAATAAGTCTGCCCTCTTCTTCTGGAAGTTGTTTAGGGGTATTTCTATGGTCCCCATGAAATCCCCGATAAACAACACTGTAGACCACAACGGTAAAAATACAAACCGTCAACAACAGGAGAGGCATGAGAGTTTTAAATGTGCGTATTTCTTCACTAATAACTTCCATTTCGCTTAAAAACGCTGCTTCAGTAATAACATTAATTTGTATAGGTCAGGTTACATGGTTGCACAGCAGGGATCCATCTCTTTCGTCGAGTGCTCCAAGCTTAGGTATTTGATACTTAAAGTCGGAAGCACAAGTCAGAGCAAGCTTATAATAACCGTAGAGATCGATGGTTAGCTTATGATTGTCTTATCGCCATGAATGGCAAATAAAAAGCATCATGATAAAGGTGTTTCGTCTTTTTTGAAAAAGGCAGAACATAGTGAGTAGCATTGGTGAGTGGCAGAAACGAAGGAAATTCATTGGTGACCATTCGAGTTTGTCGATGAATAAATGGGTCTACATGTGACAACAGACTAAATTTTTTAAATAAGCGCTGAAAAGACAAATAGGTGAGCACGAACCTTTTCTAGAAATTCCTTCGCGCTATGAACATAATAATGTCTTAAAATAAATACGATCACCTTATCTGCATGTGCGATCATCTCTTCTAAGTCATCGCTAGAGAAGCAACCACAGACAACACAAACTAGGGAATGATCGTCTTCTGATGGAGGCGATCGTGTTTGTGGACAAGATAAAGACGCTGAAACAGCATTATTCAAGTGGAGAGCAACAGCTGAAATTAGCGAGTGTATTCTATTGTGTGTAGCGCATGTGGCACAGTGGTCGGAGGCGCCCTGCAACACACATGTGGAATCAGTTCCGCTCTCCTAGCCCATCAAGGCCGCCATCCTTCCGGACTCGGCAAATTGGTACCAGACTTGTCTGGAAGGATAGCAGCACTGGTGTGATACAACGGTAGGCCACCGCGAGTCATTGTCTGCGTTTGAAACAAACACGAACTCAGCAATGTTAGAGGCTGATATGTAAGCCGTTGATCACTTATGGATTTCACCGAAAAACAGGGTGGCGCTTGTTACTGTAAACGCTTTTGATCGAACTTCATATTCCCACTATGTAAATTGCTCTAATAAGTAAACAATCCTTTAAATAATTCAAAAATTTGAAGTGAGACTCACCAATGCTACTAGGTAATTCTTGGACAGCATGAAGATGTTTGTCGCTTTGCATATGAATGCTTAAGTTACCCTTCGTCGTAGTACTGTACTTACATAGCTCGCACCTAAACATCGAAACATCTACATTCAGTTTTCTCCAGTTTTTAAAGAACATCGATAGGCAGTTTCCGCCTTCTTAAAGTATGAACACTGGTATTTGACTACAATCCACCCTAATGTTGGAAAACACTCTTCTAACTTGCCTGATGTATCAACTAATCCTTTTATCATTTTTTGCTTTACTTAGAAAAAATAAGCGTAATTTTGAAAGCTTATCATGTCTAACCAGTTTACAAGGTTTATCTTTCAAAGTGTGATGGATCTGTTTGCTTTCCATTCAAAGAGAAGGCATAACCTTGTTAATTTAAATATGTTACATCTTGCCATTTTTAAGAAACATGTAAGCACTAGGGACTTCAGTTTGTTTTCTGAAATATAAGTTGTTGGTTGTTCCGGTTACAAGCAATATTAAAGCATACCACGTTCGTTAGACTTCAGCCAATCTACTGATATGACAAAATGTTTGCATGAGCAACAAGAACAAGGTGAACTAGAAGCATTATATAAACATATTTCACTAAGAATGTTTAGTCCGCCTTTAAAATGTCGAAAGCTGAATTCTTTTAAGAAAAATAGGCTAACTGTACAAACGATCATGCTGCATCAGTTTTCACTCGAAGTAGTCCAACCACGAAATTAATCAATTTATCGATTAGTCGATAAGACACTGTAATCCACTAGCCTGTATGGTTTATATCCACATGAATAGCTCTCGCCTCGAGCAAGTTTCGGATGTATACGATTCTCAGCGCAGTATCCACATTTCACCTGGAAAAATTTGAGTATTGATAAATTGGTAGTGCAGGTTAAAAATCCTTTTAAATTTCAGTAGATGGAAATTATAAACTAATAGTTGAAAAATTTCTTTTCAACTTCGACCCAGTTATCTCTCACTATATAAGTTATGACACCACACTAAAGGTAACCACTACCTCCACTATCAGAACCAATCAGATCAATCGATAGATCCTAACAGTCGGGAACTCTTGCTTTTAGCTCTGAGATATACAACTTAAGAGTAAGAAGGAAAACACGAGATATTTTCTAGACTAGAATTGGACGCTTCCATACAATTACCAAGATCAAGTACTTATTTTTGCTTTTCAAACTCCACAAGAAATAAAGGGGGTTTCAAAACGATAATCGTTACATTAAAACAGTTCAACGATCATATTGTTTGTTCTTTTTTTGTGCTTATTTTGTGGAATAAAACGCTCTTTGTGAACCCTTCATTGTTGTCAAACGTTTTAAAAGCATGTTATACTTTTTTATAGACCCGTCTTCACGTGTACTGTGCGGATCCCAGCACTTCTCACATTCGATTTGTTTCCTCGCATCCATTGCCTGCGAAGATCTTAGATCTTCCAACTTTTATGTGCGGCTTCGGTTGCTGCTTGAGTCACTTCATTTTGGACGCCTTAGAATTCTGGTCGAGCATCTGCTTGGAGTCCTGGCATTGCCGGGCTGGAGCGCTCCCAATTGGATTGCAGAGAGTGACTTTTTTCCCCAGACAAGACCGGTACCAATTTTCCGACCCCGGATGAATGAGAGGCTTGGTTGGCCCGGAGCGAAATCGAACTAACACCATGCTCGTGATGATGAGGATCACTACAACTGTGCTAGCCGCTACACTATGTTGTTTTATATTGCTGTTTCCTGTTCAAATCTCACGTTTCAGAAACAATAAGATTACAAGCTTTGAGAAACTAAAAATAAATAAAACTTATGCTAAACTTTATGCTTACCTCACCATCCGAATGTTTTTCTTTCATATGAATTTCCAACGTCTCCTGATACTTGTAGTGCCAATTGCACTTTGGACATTTTAGTGTTTTCGAAGAGTTTCTGGAACTATGCTGGATAAGAAATGTAGACAGAAGTGATAAATATACGTGGCGATTTTGGATTGCTTCACTCCAGAGAAACGACGCGGACGAACTTGTCTACGTTTGTTACACAAGTACTTAAGTTAAGTAGCACTTTCTATTTTTGTGACTTCGAAACTGTATAGTTTATTAAAAACCGCCATAAATTCTTTTAAACAAAAGATTTCTCTATTTGACAAAAAGTAGTCTAGAAAGTTAGAACCGTGGATCTTGTAATTTAGGTGGTGGTTTCGACTCGCTTGAGTTTCATTAAAAAACACCTTCAGACCTTAGCGCTGCATTGCATCCGAAGTCGTTGTACATCGACAGATCGATTCCCATGGAAAATTTTGTGGGCATATCTACTGATGACGCCGTGTCGTGCATTTCAATGCCTCCGCTTAAAAGTCGTTCCAAATGAGCTTTAGGTGAGTCGGACGAACCTGCAGATGATCAGTATGAATAGAAAACAAATAGTCCTTGTAGCTTTAAAAATAATAAAGATTTAATAATTAAGGCTAGCTTCAACACTCTAAAAATAATTTACCAATCTTCGCTGTCATATGAGTTATCTTCTGCAATTTCGTCGTAAGAAGCGATGGGTCTCCAAATATAGGATGGGTGGTGAACGAGGAGCAAACTTGTCTAAGACCTACTTTTTTTTTGCAAATTACTGTAGGAAAAATGCCTTATCTATGAACCAACAAAACAATCTATAATTCCACTACACAAGTGATCGCAAGACATTATAAAAGCCCCCATAAATAGGCCCCACATCACAGCCTAGGAGACTTCGTCAAGCTGTTTGTAGTATACCCAGTCTAATAATGCCTGTAACCTAGAACGACCTCTGTTGCTACATAGTTGGATAGGAAACATACGAAAAAGCTGCTAAGGCCACAGAGGTTTCTTAGACTACCAAGTTCTTGAAGGGCTACGTTTACGGTCCATGCTTATAAATTATGTACGCTAGCATCGAATTTCTCAGCTGCGGATATAACCAGGAAACCTAATAAAACTGAAGATGGTGTGCGATCGAGACGAAAAGACAATGCTTAATAAGCACCGTCTTTAACACCAGAGAAACTGTTTCTAGAAATACGAGAGGGTAGAAATTGGCAGATATGGTGTCTTTATTAAAACACGTTTAGCAACAAGACTCCTTAGAGGAATTAACATCTCGACTAAGCTGTTGCAGTTGAAGAGATGTGGAAAATATGAAATGAAGTCAGATTTCCACTCAAATCATTTTCATAGCCATGTGTATCTAATCCATAATCGTTTCAGAGGTAATAGAAGCAACTATGTTTTAGATTTTATGGTCTGTCTATTCTTTTTCCGTGGCAGGGTACGATGTGAAATACAGCCACAAGTCTGAGGTACATGCTTATATAAAAATAATAATAATAGTTCCTCTCCCCAGATCTCCCCAGAATAATAGTTGCGCTCCCCAGATCAACCCCGCTGACGGGTGATTGCTGTGGCAAAAAGATCGATAGAAATAGCTGAGAGACGTGCGAAACAAAGGACCCGCATGGTGTGGTGGTGAACGCGTTACTCCCCGGAAAGGACAATAGCGCGTTCGTTCCCCACCATAGACACCTGCAGTCCAGAGTTTTGCAAATATCTCAGCAACGTTGTGGTTGTATTTCGCTTAGTAACCTGCCATGAAAATTATAGAAGGCAGAGAACAAAACGTTAAAACTTAATAATAATAGTAATAGTAATAATAATAATAATAATAATAATAATAATAATAATAATAATAATAATAATAATACAATGCAACGTTAGCTGACGTTTCGGCAGTATCGCCTTCTTCAGAGCCGCTTTTTTCGTGACTTCCAATGAGGAAGTTTAGAACAGCTGATTATAGTCGCATGTGGTTGACGGAATAATAATAATAATAAGGTACAATAAGGTATAATAAGGTCTGAGGTACATGCTTATATAAAAATAATAATAATAGTAATAATAATAATAATAACAATAATAATAATAATAGTAATATTGGAACCAAAGATGGGCTTCGAACAAACGATTACACTTATCATGGGTCTCGTGTTATCCACCACACCAACCTAAGCCGTTGCTTTGCCTTTATTACAACTAGTTTTTTTTATTCTATAGGTGCAATCAGCAGTAACTTAAATAGAAGTAGGCAGAAAATAAAAGTTAAAGCATTGCCATTTCGACTACATCATGAGCCTGACTGGGTTCAATCCCGATTTATGCTGACTAGATCATTTCCGTTGTCGGGTGATTACTGGTATCATCGTTAGAGTAAAAAAACTAGATGACAAAAAACAAAAAAAACTCCGATTGGAGTGTTGGACAGCACGTGATTCTCCTCAGCCGCAAGGGTAAACGCGGTTTCGACGTCCATCCCAGGTTCAATGTTTTGCTCATTTTTCAACATCTCTTGAACATGGTTGTCTTCAATTAAAAAGTGTGAACTTTTTAGTTTGTAGGTGAACAATAACACAGCACCTAGTTGCGAAAGAATCATAATCGAACATATGGGAAACTTCATTCAGGCTCCGTTGAGATACCCAAGCATGCTACCCATAAGAATCCAGGTGAACGAGAAATCTGAAGGATCTAACTGTTAAACAGGTACGGAAAGTTATATTATATCAGCCGCTGGTAAAAAACATTGTTACATGGAAAAGATGATTGTCAGAAGGACGGAAAGAAGCAAACACAGAGTTTCGAAAAAGGTTTTGTATTTTGGGTAGTGCCGATATGGTGCGGAATGAAGTACAAGGAGAATGTCGTCGGCATAGAAAACACCTAGGTTTATAATGAAGCAAAATTAGTACTGAAAAACCACGAATGGAATACCTTACAAGTTAATGTCAGGTACACACAATGTTTTCGTTCTACTAATCTTTCTTGTAATACTAGCCACTACTAGACTAAATGAATGTTGGTACATTTCGATTGCGAGAATAAAATAAAAAAAATCGGACTTCCGCTCAACCGAAAAATGATGCTCATAAAATAGTCTTCGACACTTCCACATTAAACGGAAGAGGTATTTCTTGTTCAGAGGTACAGTTCTGTTTACATAGTCCTTTAAACGAGTGTACCTGCTGTTTGGGTCAGTAAATCAAGATGACGTCTCCGCTCTAAAGCTGAATTGAAAGTGTGTGGTCTGAAGCACTTACAACACCACCGAAGACTTAATGAACTGCTCGGCATTTCCGTCTTCAAGGCGTACCCTACCTCAATCTATGATATCGTCGTCAACAGGAGTCTGGGTAGAAAGTGCGGCTGGGATTATCAAAAGCCATATAAGGGGGTGCCTTAGGAACATTCCACACAGAAAAGTCAGGAAGGTAGACGGAGAACCAGAGAATTGGAGCTGCTGCCTGCACTGATGGTAAAAGAACGGAACTTCTACTACGTAGTATTAAATTTCGAAAATTGGATAGGCCATTGATGTGGTGTTTATTAAACATTATTGCTGAAGTGGAGCAGCCTGATATTGTTCCACGTTCAACGGCATGTCAAAAATACGGCTGAAAATCTGCCAATTAGATGATTAAGCTTCCTTATCAATGTTATAAGTAAAATTATTGTGCTCTATAGTTTACTGTCTTTTTTGGTGGTCAAACATGACGTTGGCGACACAGCATTTATTAACATAGAAAAGGCGACCTTTTGGCGGCTTTGTCTTCTTTGGACCCTGGAAAGGTATATACTCAGCCAAACACTTTCATAACCTCAGCAGAAAGCTTGGCGTATAAATTTTCATCCTCATAATGATTAACTTTTTTGAACAGCCACCGTTTTGTCCTTTATAAGTCTTACAGTTATTTGATGGATACCAGCCGCACAAAGTCTAACATGGACAAGGAATGGGTCAGGGTTAGGTCAAAGAATTAGTCTTAGGTATGGGACGAGGTCGTGCGTAAAAACAAAACAATCCACTTTTCGGTTCATTTTGGATTTTTAGAACTAATCTAAAAATGCTTCAAGAGTTTCACGTCCTAATGTTGTGGATTCCTGTGTGAGTATAGTGACTTTTACTTCAAAATCACAGACCAAGAGCGCGCTTGTTAGAAGCATGTTTCCGGCAGCCACCAGTGTGTACACGAAAAGAGAACAGAGGAAGGAATCTGTGAAAATGGCGCGGAAAATAGTTATTTCCAGTAGCTACGAAACTACAGCTTTTAGGGATTAGTGTGGAGCGAAACCCACACTCCCAAACGGTAATTCTAACAAAAATAAGGTCCCGTATATCCCGACTATCCTGCCCTTTATTTCCAACGAAATAATGCAGCTATAACACATTACTGAAGAAGTGCCGGTCTAAAGAATTCATTAACAGTATTGGAAATCTCATCGACCACTTTAAGACGCCAGTCAATTCGTCGCAAGCGCCTTTATGACCGTCTATGTACAACGCAAAATTGTCCAATACACCCTAACGCTGGGGTCGGCGACTGCAAGAGTTCGGCTACAGTGCAACAATCTCTTGCAAGGCTCGTGGCCAAGAGTACGTTGACGAACTGGGTAGACTACTGCAAGTCCATATAAAAGGACATCTAGCCAATAAATTTAAATTGCAACCAAACACTCCACTTGACGCGCAAAAGACACAGAAACATAGCGGAGAAGCAAAATTCACTCCTCGCGCACAGGAATCCAAAACATCAGCGCGCAAAACTCTCGACGCATCTGGATTAATTCCAAAAATCCACAAATGGGCTACAAGAAGGGGTGTGCTCACGCGTGACTTCTCGCCATACCTCAGGCTGATTGTCTGACATGGGCCGGGCCCATTCTTCGCCTATGTGATACTCTGTGAGGTTGGTCTCCACCAAATAACTAGATGACCCACAAAGAACAAAACGGTGGCTGTTCAAAAAAAGCTGTTCATTGTGCGAATAAAAGTTTATATACTAAGCTTTGTCTATTGAGGTTATAAAAGTGTTTGACTGAGTAGACACCTTTCCAGGATCTAAAAAAGGCGAAACCGCTCAAACGACAGCTGTTCTGCATTAATAAATGCTACAATACCAACCTGCCGTTTTGTTATCAAGAAAAACAGTAAATGGTTAAAGTGCCGAGGTTAAAAAAGGAGACGCCCTTGGGATTGTGCTCTAGATTTTCCTCTGAATAAAACCGAAAGATTAAGACACAGGCTTTAGTAAAAAGACAAAGACGACTGAAGAGCACCAGCACTCGTTTGATTCACTCGACTATCGACAGCAAGAAAATTGATAATGGACGACCTGATAGAGCCACATCGTGAAATTCGAGATTTCCGGAAGAGGAGTGTTCCCCGATCAACAAATCACCAGCGAAATAAAAATTGTGCTGCGTCGAAGTGATTTTTAGTGGTCGGAGAAGGTGGGCGATTCAGTTAAGTATAATGACATTCGGACCACAACTTATATGTGAAACAACTCACACTTTCGTTCAGTAAGTAGTCGAAGTAAATCTGATGCGTCGCCACCAGTTGGAGGTGTGTCCGCCGGCGAATCTGAAGGATTTACTTGTAAAGAACGGTTGAAATAAGGTTTTCTTCTGGACGAAACTTTTATTCTGTGTC